CCTTTTTCTAGTTAAGGCGACTTTATGCATGTACATGAATGTTGATTAATCAAGCATAAGTGAAAATCCTATTACTATTGATTAAACACATACAGGAACTGAGGGTTCCTCTCCATTAACCAACCGGTATACGTAACAATAACCAAAAAATAACATTCTTTAAGATTGTTGTGGAAATTGTTCACGTATACTAAATCTTGCAAAACAAGCAACATGTAATATCACAAAAAAATATGCAAAGACACATATGATCGTCATAGCCGACAAAATTCACTGTCTCTCCTTAAAGAATCTTATTCCTCTCTAATACCCAAGGTTATAGAATGATTCCTCCTAGGATAGAAAGGACGTACCTTAGTGGTACCTCAAATCCCGAAAACCATCGAACGCAGCAAACCGACGAGAACCACACTTGACTCGATTTTCTCTTTGAAAAGAATGCAAAAAACTAGTTTGGGATTTAAGAAGAATTTTGGTACCGGGAACACGTATATTTCTCGTATTCAAAACTAGAGCGGGTATGGTGCTATTTATAAAAAATGAAAGGGTGCGTATGAAGGGAGGCAACTCTTCATATGGGTGGTTACACCCCCAACCAACACATTGGTTCATTTTAAAATCGGCTCATGGTAGTTTGACCAGTTTGGTTATTCCAACCGCCACATCAGTTCGGTTCAATTTGGTTCAACTCGATTTGGTCTGGTTGGTTACACAAACCAATATTATCGATTACCAACATATTACATCAAATTGACCGAATTTGCGGCCACGCTTTCCCACAGCTTACCAAAATGGTACTTCATGAGATTTTCTTGGATCTTTCTCTTTTCATTTCCATTCACACCATTAAAAATGGGGATTGCTATTCGTAGCCCTAAAAATCTTTCACGTTTGGTCATTCAAATTATACCAATCTTTCACGTTTGCCAACCAAATTACTTTTCTTTCTTATTTTCCACTAACTTTACGAATCGTTTCACCATTAGTCACCGGCCGTTACACTCTGTTAAATTTATCCTACGTGGCAGTCAACTATAAAGTTTAACCGTTAACTAGATGATGTGGAAATAAAAAAATTAAATTATTTCGCCATCTCATCCTCCCACATACTTTATGATTTATCATATTAATTATTTAATGAAATTTAATCAAATTATTACACAAATTACATTGTCAAGACAAGAACAATGTGCTAAAACCGGGCACTATGGTGGGTTGGTATTTGAATTTGACCTATTTCTTCTAAGGCGGAGTGGTATGCCTCCAAGACTCAGTCTCCGCCGACAGAAACAGGGGAAACACATCGCCATCACTGCTGTAGTAGAGGTGGAGGTCTTCGTACGAAGATTGGATTTCGTTGAGTTGGGTGTAGGCCGTGAAGCTTGGATTCCCTTGTTCCATGATGAAGGCATCAGTTGTGAGCTTGAGAGGGATGGATTGGAAGGAATCGGTGAAATTTTAGGGGAGAATGAAAGAAGATTCGCTAGGATTTTGAAGACGACGGTGGACTGGAAGGTTGGGTTTTGTTTTTGCAGAGGGTCGATGGTTTTGTGGGATTTGGGGGGATTTTGTGGCTGGCGGCGTATATCGCGTACTTGTTCCGGTAAGTATGCTGCTACTTTTGAGGATTTCTTTTAATAGTTTGGGGATCTTTTCCTTCTTTTTTTTTTTTTTGCCATAGATATCCTCAAAGGGGAACAGAAGATACGAAGTATATAACAATATACATGACATTTGCAGGTTAAATCACAAATGAAAAATGAAAAGACCTTTGCAGGTCTGACAAAATAGGGCTTTCCCGCTTAACATCCACCATAATCTCCTGCCTTTCCCTTTCCCAAACTAAACCCCACCCCAAACACCCAATTTCTTCTTTCTCCCCGTTTACTTTCTCCTTCCCTACCCAAATCCTCGTTGTCGAGAGGGCAAAGAAGTCATAATCAAGTGAACTGAATGACATGGCAACCGAACCCCCAAATGATCAGACGAACAACCAACCGCCGGGAATGCATTCGTGGCGCCACCGCTGCGAAGTTCCGACGAAGCGAAGATGAAGAAGGGGAATAGGAATAGGACAAATCAATCCCGACTTTGCAATTTCTTTCTCCTCTCTGATGATTAATTTTTTTAATTTACTAATTTTAATAAATAATTAATATGATAAATGATATAGACAAAGTAAGTGGTGGAATGATGAGGTAGAAAAATAAAATTTATTTTTAAGTTTGTAATTTTCACGTCATCTAGTTAACGGTCAAACTTTATGGTTGAATGTCACGTAGGATAAATTTAACGGAGTGTAACGGCCGGTGACTAACGGTGAAACAATTCGTAAAGTTAGTGGCAAATAAGAAAGAAAAGTAATTTGGGTGGCAAACGTGAAAGATTTGTATAATTTGAATGACCAAACGTGTAATTTAGCCATTAAAAATCCCAACACTCCTCGCCATAATATAATTTGGTTGATGAATGTGTCAAAAAGAAGCCAAGATCTTTTGCAATCACTTTCGCGCATTTCATAGTTTCAGTCCATGACTTATATCTCGTGTTTGACTATTTGTGATGAAAAATTGAGTATAATCAACTTTGTCCCCCTAATCTTTCCGATCTCCCTAAAATAAGCACATTCATCTTATTACTTATTAGTAATACTAACTTTGAAATGTTTGTTGTGGATTGAATTCTTTCGACTTGATATAGACTCACTCTTACATAAGTTTCAACACTTTTGATGACTTGTAATGTTTGTTGTAAATTGAATTCTCACAATTTGATATGTATTGAGTTTTATGTAAGTTTTAGAAAATTTGATGACTTGTTTGCAACATTAGATTTTATATTTATCTTCTAATTAAAAAAATATTAAAGACGTTATTAGCAATTATTCATTAAGAAAAATCAACATCTTAATTAAGTATGATTAGCTACCAAAACTAATATTTCAACATACTAATTAAATTATTAACAACGCAACAAAATCAATAATTCAAAAAATTTCAAACAATATGTATCATTAAAAATATAATTAAGTATATTATCAATTACTAGGTCGCCTCATCGTAACAATAACTAATTCAACATGATTCTAAAATTAAAAAATTTAGCTCACTAACCGTGTTACTCATTGTCTGATGTAGTAATATTCACAAGTCCGAACTTGACAAACTTCAAGAAATAGCTATAAGAAAAATATTGTCAGTAACATTAACTTAGTTTCAAAATATCAAAAAATAAAATTAAAGAACTTCATTTTACAAATTATAAAATAACAAAGCTATCCTAAAAAAATATGATAATTACAATATTCATAAAATAATAAATTACAATAAAATCACTAAATATTATTAAAAATCTAAACTATTCATAACATAAATATATTATAAAAAATAAAATAATAACAAAAAAATCTAAGTTATCTAATATCTATTTAAAAGTTTCAATATTACTCACACATATAGAAGAAAATAAAAAATTCAATAAAAAAAACCCACGACAACGACCAACGAAGCCGTTAGTCCAAGGCGGACGACACCCCGACAGGATGTCCGGCAATCGCCTTTGTCGCAATTACCATTGTCCAGTCTCCGATGGGCCGCTATCGTCGTCCAGCCCCTTAGAGTCCTACTCTATCTTCGCCTGTCACCTCAGTTCCGCCGCTGCACTCTCAGAAACTCCGCTGCCATTTGCTTTGTGTGTCTCGGAGGGGAAGACAACCAGGAAAGGTAGAGGAAATCTACTCCATCTATCCACTCTCAAGAAAAATCAGATGAGTTGTAAATTAGTTTTTTTTTATTTTTTATTTTAAATTGCCACGTCATACATTTAATGGCCCAATCAGTAGTTTTGTTTGCCATATCATAAAAAAATTGACGGAGTTAACGGAGACTGATGGCCGGTGACCAGACGTGAAGCAATCCGTAAATTTAGTGACGAATAAGAAAGAAAAGTAATACAAGTGGTAAACGTTACAAATTAATGTAATTTGGGTTAATTGCATGGTTGGTCATTGAGATTACAAAAGACATTTAGGTTTGGTCACTCGAAATATTTAAATCCATTCATGGTCACTATAATTAATAAAATAATCCAAATTTAGTCAGTCTCCGTTAGCTTCCGTTAACTGCGTCAGTTTTTTGTTGACTTGACTAACAGAATCGCCCAATAAACCTAATTTAATAAAATAAAAATTATACCCAACCCGCCACGTCATCAAAACCCGTCACATCAACAAAATCTCAATTCAACCCATTACCCAACCCAATTTAAACCTATACACAATTAAAACCACCCTTGTGTCATTAAGCCCACCACCACGGTAGAAAGAAAAAATAAAAAAAATCCTCAATCCAAACAAACAAACGCTAACAATTGAGAAATTCAATTGGGGGACTGTGAATTATATGGCTATTGTCCATAAAGCATATGGTTTTATCTCTTTCTTTCTTCACTACGAATTCAATGGCAGCTAGGCAGAACTATAGATTCTTCCCCGTGGACCATCGCCTCCTCAACCACCACGACTCCTCTGGTGGCTTCGAACTCGACGAGTGCGACATCCACGACCCCCACTACAACCACCACCACTAGGCTGCAAAGTCGCCGTCCGGAAGGCCGGATCCAGGAATAGGTCAACGACGGCGGTGGCGCCCTTTCACCTTTCGATCACGCCTCCTCCCTAAGTAGACCTCGCGATCGGGTCGGGTTGGGGATTTCGGTTACGGGTCGGGGTCATGTTTGGTTGGCTAATTTCGGGTCAAATATTGACCCAATCCATTCGGTTTCGGGTCGGGTTACAGGTCATTTCGGTTTATGAGCGTTCTCAGAAACAATATCAAACATGCTTCATATTTTCTTAAAGAACACAAATTTTCACATATGCATGACAATAGTTTACTTAACACATGCCAATTAACATATTCTCAAATCCTCCCATGCTAATGAAATGAAATACAAATTGCGCAAATCGTCAGAAAACAATTACAAGAGTAATACTACTACAAAAAACACATGATATTTTATTATCCTTAAACTCCAAACATGTCATTCAAATCCTTTTGATTTTTTTTAAACATCTCACCAATTTATGAGTGATTTTATCATTTTGAGAGTGATATATAAAATGGAACGGGTCTAACGGGTCGACCTGCTAACCCACCCAACCTGACCCAAAAAATCACGGGTTATCGGGTTCGGGTCATTCGGATTTCGAGTTACAAAAAATTATAGTTTTCGGGCGGTTTCGGGTCGGGTCAACGAGTCGGGTTGTAATTTGCCAGGTCTGTCCCTAAGCTCTTCAGCTTCGTCTCACCCCCGACGCTGGGTTCTTCAGCAAATCCACCGTGAGAAATCTTCCTCCTTTCGGATATGGGTTTTAGTTGGTGCGGTCAAGGAGGGGAAGGGAGTGTGGGCCGCCGCTGACGCTACTTGGTCAGCGAGGAACAAAATCGTATTAGAACTAGCTCGTTGCGGTTTGTGTAGTTCGCTGGTTCGATGATTGTGCTTTCAATTTCAGATTTCGCTTTCTTGGTGTTCAGAAAGGTTGGGGTTTTAAGAGTTCGATTTGACTAGTAGGGGTTGCTGTTGAAGTTCTTGGGGAGGATATTACTGATAAAGACGGTGGGGTTCCAAAAAATGAAGTTGTATCCGTCGTTGATGGTCGGATCGTGAGCTACTGTTCGAGGAAGAGGAAGCTGGAGTTGAGTTTCGTGAGGAGGAAGACGAACTGCAAATAGACAGGGAGAGAGAGAGAAAAGTAGATGGGAAGAGATAGGGTGTTGAGCCAGAGGTTGGTTAATGTTTAGGATGTGGTTATATGATGTGGCAATTTTTAATGATGTGGCAGGTTGAATTTTAAATTTTTTTAGATTAAAATTGGGTGACTAGGCGTTTCTGTTAGACACGTCATAAAAAAACTAACGGCGTTAACATAGACTTACGGAAGGTAACAATGAGTGACCAAACATGACATGTTTTACTTAATCTAGTGACCACCGATAGATTTAAATATTTCGATTGACCAAACATGAGCGTTTTTGTAAACTCAGTGACCATGCCATTAACCCTCATTTAGTGAATAAAAATTTCATTCCAACTTTTTGCCTATGTTAATGTTACTACCGGGTTCGGCCAGCTAACCATGCTAGCTAAACCGGTTAGCAGCCCAGGCAAGGAATTAATTATTAAAATTAAAAACTAAAGAAATTTGGACAAACACGGAAACTGATAAAAAAAGGGAGTTAATATTTACAGCCCTAAATATTTAAAAAATTCGCCCTAAATTTGAAAAACTGACACCTTTGCCCGTAGCCCAATTCTAACCTAAATCCCCAAATCAACAAATCACCGCCAACCCCAAACCCTTTACATTGCCGACGATGTTCCCCGCCGCCGTTGGTGCTACTGAGCTTAACGGGGAAGGAGAACGATGTACACATGCCCAGTCTTTCTCGTCGGCGGCAACCTGATTCAGATCGTAGCCAGGCAGAAACCCGACTAGGGCGTGTCCGGACGTGCTCCACCACTGCTCCCCCGGCTATGGACGTCATCCCCACCCGCTCGATTCGGCAACGAGGCGGGTTGAAAACCCGTCGTCGACGAGCTGGACACAGGTCGAAACCACGTCTCTAACCAGAGAAGAAGCAGCGGGCGAAGCAGAGCGGCGACGGTCGTCTGGCTGGCCAGACGAAGGAAGCAGAGGGCTGCGGCGCCGATCGTGGTGTCAAACTCCATGAGCAGAACTGAAGAGAAGGAAGAAGAAGATGATGAGTATGAAGCCCCTGCTCTCCAACGGTCGAATGCAGAAGGAGGGAAAAGTACAAACGCAGCACACGCAGCGTTTTGTCACAAGAAAGAAAGACAGAAGAAGATAGAAACGGCAGCGTTCAATTTAGTGTATAGAGATTAATTGTTTATAGCTCTAGCTAGTGATAGATTGCCACTTGTCTCGTTTTGGATGGACAAGGCAGTTAGAGTTAGTTTGTCCTGTAGTTCAGAATTCTCTGTACATATATCTGCAACCCTGCAGCCAAAGGAATGCGAGAAATCCTTTTACAAATCAATCCTTTTTCAACAATTCTCATGGTATCAGAGCCTCTGGCTTACCTCTTTTAGGGTTTCGTGAGCTTGTAGCCGTTCAACAATGGCAGATAATCAGGAAGACACTACATCATCAACACGCACAGCTACTACAGCTGGAGCTGCTCAGCAACTACAACCACAACGTCAAGCTGTGGATCCCTATTACGTCAACCCCAATGAGAATCTTTCTCAAGGTATTATCTCTGTAAAACTTGATGGAACTAATTATCACGTATGGAGCAGATCCATGCGGATTGCACTGAAAACCAAGAAGAAACTTGGATTTATCAATGGCACCTTACCCATGCCTGAGTTGACAGATCCAGACTATGAGATCTGGGATCAGAGTAACACAAATGTCATGGGTTGGATTCTGAATTCACTCACAGATCCCATTGCTGAAGCAGTAATGGACAATGAAACAGCTTTAGACCTATGGAAGGATCTGCAAGAAAGATATGGAGAAGCAGATTCAGTTAGGCTAGCTCATGTTAGAGGAATGATTGCTCGTTGCAAGCAGGAAAATAGCAATGTTACTGAATATTATAACAGATTGGGTGTGCTATGGACAGAGTATATGTCATTTAAGTCAATCCCAGCTTGTGAATGTGCAAATACTCCCTATACCATGACATGTGTTACCTATGCTGCTGTCAAACAATCACAAGAACAGGACCACACCATCGATTTCATCACTGGTCTAAATGACAATTTTGAAATGACCAAGAATCAGCTGTTGATGATGGATCCTGCCCCAAACCTCAAGGTTGCATACAAGTATGCACTAAAGCTGGAAAGGCAGATGGCCAAGCAACCAGCCAAAGAAACTACTGGAGTAGATTCAGTAGCGTTGGCAGCATTGAATCAAGGAAGGAACAGAGATCAAAGAAGTGAATATCCAAAAGGAGGAAGGCAGAACTCTTATCAAGGAAACTATCCTAACAACTACCAAAAAGGGAATACTGAATCAAATGCAAGCAGTCAGCAACATGGAGGTAGCCAACAGAACTTGTTTTGCAATTACTGCAAGAAAACAAATCATGTCATAGCAGATTGCTGGAGACTGAAAAGGAAAAGAGGAGAAATGGCAGGACCAAACTATGCTGCTGCAGCTACTTCAAGTGGTACTCATGATCAAAGCAACACAACTCACTTGCCTGGTACTGAACAGGACAACAGGAATCAGAATACCACTACTCTGCAACTCACTGCAGAAGACTGTAGCAGACTGATGATGTTACTTCAACAGAATCCTGGTTCTCAAACATCAAATCATACCAGCACTCAACCTCAAGCTCATTCAGTATCAAGACACATCAGTCAGATGCCAAACAGTGCAGGTAAATATATCCTATCTACTTTCACTGCTTGTCAACAGAAAGAGTTAATGAACAATTGGATTATAGATACTGGTGCATCTGATCATATGTGTTGTAGCCTTGCCTTTTTCACAACACATCATCCAATAGAAAACCTGTTTGTTACCCTACCAACCAGTACTAAAGTCAAAGTGACACACATTGGAACAGTAAAGATCAATAACAACCTAACCTTAAACAATGTTCTCCATGTCCCTAGCTTTACTTTCAATCTTATCTCTGTCAGTTCCTTGACCAAAACCCTTCCTATCACCCTAAGCTTTCAATCTGACTTCTGTGTTGTTCAGGACCTTCATACACAGAAGAAGATTGGTTTTGCAAAAGAGCTTAGAGGACTATACCAACTCCAAACATCCATCCCAAGTCCAGAACCAAATATCAACCTGGTGGCAGCAGTAAACAGACCTGAGAATAAAGACATGCATTTGTGGCATGCTAGATTAGGACACCTTTCCAATTCTAGAGCTAGACTTTTCCAGAAATGTAATCCTGAAGTTCCAGTGAATGTTATTGATCACTGTGAAACTTGTCACCTTGCCAGACAAAAGAAGTTACCTTTTTCTTCAAGTCCTCACAACTGCACAGAACCTTTTGAAATCATTCATTGTGACATTTGGGGTCCCTTGCATACCACTTCCTATGATGGTTTTTCATACTTTTTAACCATTGTAGATGACTTCTCTAGAGCAGTTTGGGTTTATCTAATGAAAAACAAATCAGAGGCAAGACCTCTTTTGCAGCAGTTCTGTACCATGGTCCATAAACAGTTCAACAAACCAGTGAAAACCATTAGAACTGACCAAGGAAAAGAGTTCCATATGGCAGATTACTATAGGGATCATGGCATTTCTCATCAAATGTCTTGTGTAGAAAGACAACAACAAAATGGAAGAGTTGAGAGAAAACATCAGGACATTCTAAACATAGCAAGAGCACTGAGATTTCAATCAAATGTTCCTATGCGTTTTTGGAGTGACTGTGTGCTCTATGCTGTTCACATTCTAAACAGACTACCTACTCCCGTCCTAAACAACCAAACCCCCTTTGAAAAACTATACAACAAAAAACCAGACTACTCACTCCTTAGAGTCTTTGGATCACTGTGTTATGCTGCCACCTTAGAGTCAGGTAGGAACAAATTTCAACCAAGGGCTAGAAAGGGACTATTCCTTGGTATTCTACCTGGAATCAAGGGATATAAAGTATATGACCTTAACACCAAACAAATATTTGCATCCAGAGATGTTTCCTTCCATGAAACCATTTTCCCTTTTGCCACTCCTAATACACCTTCACCTACTGGCAACATCCCTACACCATCTACACCTACCATTCCTTTTCCCATCATCCCTCCTCCTGCTTCTTCATCCCCTCCATCTCTTATTTCTATCCAGTCCCCAGCACGTGATCATTTGCATACAGGTCTAGATTCAAGTGTTTTTGATTCTCCTGCTGAACCATCATCTCCTAGTTTCATCTCTTTTGAAACTATGGATGAACATGATGCTGAAATTGTCAATGAAGAAGAAGCAGAAGGAGAAGGGGGGACAACAACAACAAATTACTCACCTTCTCCTCCTCCTTTGAGGAAAACTACTAGAACAAGTAAACCACCTGTGTTGCATGGAGATTACTTTGTTGGAAATGCACAAACCAAGTATCCAATATCCTCTTTCATGGATTACTCTCAGCTGAGCCAAGAGTTCAAGCATTATTCCCTGGCAGTATCTAATTTGCAGGAACCACGAAATTTTGATGAAGCCATGTTAGAAGAATGTTGGAGAGAAGCAGTTAAAGAAGAATTAAGAGCTTTAATAGCTAATCACACATGGGACATAGTGGACTGTCCTATGGGAAAGAAGTTAATTGGGAACAAATGGATATTCAAAATCAAACTCTTAGCAGATGGATCGATAGAAAGATTCAAGGCAAGACTGGTAGCACAGGGTTTCACACAAATACCAGGAATTGACTTTCTGGACACCTTCTCTCCAGTAGCAAAGATTAATACAATCAAGATCTTAATGGCTGTAGCATCTGTTAAGAACTGGCACTTGAGCCAAATGGACATCAGCAATGCCTTCTTAAATGGTGATTTGGAGGAAGAAGTATACATGAAGATACCACCTGGTATTGAAGGAATGGAAGGGAAGGCTTGCAGACTAAGGAAGTCACTCTATGGACTTAAACAGGCAAGCAGGCAATGGTATGCCAAACTAACTGAAGCTTTAGTAAGTTTTGGTTTTACACAATCATATTCAGATTACTCATTGTTCACAAAGAAGAATGATAAAGGAATTGCAGTGATCCTGGTGTATGTAGATGATCTAATCTTCTCAGGAGACAATGAGGAAGTAATTCAAGAGGCCAAGGCTTCCTTGTCAAAGCAATTCAAAGTGAGAGATTTGGGAAAGTTAAAATACTTCCTTGGACTGGAAGTAGCCAGAAGCAGTAGTGGGATTTCTATTACTCAAAGGAAATATTGCTTAGATCTGTTGAAGGATACAGAATTTCTCAATGCAAAACCATGTAAGACTCCATCAGACATGAAGACCAGATTAACTCAATATGATGACGAACCATATGTGGATCCACGAGAATACAAGTCATTGATTGGAAGATTGGGGTATCTCACAACAACCAGACCTGACATAGCGTTTGCTGTTCAGCAACTATGTCAGTTTCAAGCGCAGCCAAAGATCTCTCACATGAAAGCAGCTCACAGAATCTTACGCTACCTTAAAGGTTCTCCAGGTCAGGGGTTGTTCTTTGCATCAAATTCAGAACTCACACTAACAGGCTACAGTGACTCAGACTGGGGGGCATGCCCTGACACAAGAAGATCGATTACTGGGTACTGTACATTTTTGGGAAACTCACTAATCACTTGGAAGGCAAAGAAACAAGCAATCGTCTCAAAATCCTCTTCAGAGGCAGAGTATAGAGCACTGTCGCAGATGTCATGTGAAATACAGTGGGTAACACAAGTCCTAAAGGATCTCAGAATTGAATATGAACTACCAGCAATGGCATACTGCGACAACAAGTCAGCAATTCATATGGCAGAAAACCCGGTGTTCCACGAGAGGACGAAGCATATAGAAATTGATTGCCATATAATAAGAGAAAGGGTTAAATCAGGGTTGATTACCTTGAACTATGTTTGCACTGACAGGAATCTTGCGGATGTTTTCACTAAGGGACTCAGTGCACAACGATTCAGATGGATTATGTTCAAGCTGGGAGTATATGACATATACTCGCCAGCTTGTGGGGGGATGTCAAACTCCATGAGCAGAACTGAAGAGAAGGAAGAAGAAGATGATGAGTATGAAGCCCCTGCTCTCCAACGGTCGAATGCAGAAGGAGGGAAAAGTACAAACGCAGCACACGCAGCGTTTTGTCACAAGAAAGAAAGACAGAAGAAGATAGAAACGGCAACGTTCAATTTAGTGTATAGAGATTAATTGTTTATAGCTGTAGCTAGTGATAGATTGCCACTTGTCTCGTTTTGGATGGACAAGGCAGTTAGAGTTAGTTTGTCCTGTAGTTCAGAATTCTCTGTACATATATCTGCAACCCTGCAGCCAAAGGAATGCGAGAAATCCTTTTACAAATCAATCCTTTTTCAACAATTCTCAGGGAGGGGAGCAGGAGCAGAGGGAGACGGCGGCGCCGGCGCACGGGGAGGCGAGCATGAGCAGAGGGAGGCGGGGGCTTGTCAGTTTAGGGACTAGGGCGATTACGAGATTGATGTTTTAATTGGGGGCAAAATCGTCCGTTAATATAATTTAGGGCGATTTATTTAAAAACTTAGGGCGTTAAATAGAAGTTCAGTAAAAAAAAACGCAAACGTAAAAAATTTCAAGCCCTAGTTCACAGTCCAGTTCGAGCAAATACTTGCAGAAGGAAGCCGTCTTTCATTTTCTTTCACCCTTTCAGACGACGGAGAACGAGCGCCGAGCTCTGCGCAGGAAGACGCATCAACCTATTCTCTGGTAGGGCAGTCGAGTTTTGCTCCGATCTTCCTCTGCCCACCGCCTCTGCTTCAGTCTCCTGTAAGGCCTTTCCCCTCTCCTCCGTCGCCGGAACCTTTCGCCAATTTTCATTCACTAGTATCCGAATTCTTCCTCACCGGAAAGTCCTAATCCCGTCCCCCGAATCTCTGTGCCGTAATAAGTTTAACCTAAGAAGAACGCGAAGTAACGCAGATACACACACGCACACGCTCTTTCTCTCTGCCTTCCGCATCTTCTCTTTGTATTGATTCCCTTCGTTCCGCCTTAACAACTTCCTCCGATTTTGGGTTCTTTGCCGCAGATTCTCGTCGCAGTTGGCTGCCGTCCCCTGAAGTCAGCTCTGTCTATCATCCTTCCTCTGTGGTGCGTTTAATTTCAAACTCGTCTCCGTGGTTGCTTTGCTTATTTGTTTGCATTACATCCGTTTCTTTATTCTGGAGAGCAATATCTTGAATCTAGTAATCTAGGGTTTTGGCGTTTTCGGATATGATTTATTCTTCGGATTCCGGGTGTTAATCTGATTGCCTGTGAATTGTTGGTTCCGTCAAAGATAGATCCACCGCCACCTGGGTGTCCTGAATTTTGATAATCTTGTCCGCTTCTTTCTCAGTCTCCGTTTGCAGCAATCTTCTCATTGCAGGAGAATTGATTGGTTTATCACTCTCACATCTGCAGGTGTCTATTCGGCAAAATAGCATTACAAGAAGAAAGGGGTTACTTCAGATTCTCTAGATGGGTCGAAAGAAGCCAGCAGCCCGCGACGAGGATAATCCTCCCGCAGTATCTCAGGGAGGTGGAGGGAAATCAAAGAAGAAAACTCTAGTGATAGATGATGATGAGTACTCCATTGGCACGGAGTTGTCTGAGGAATCTCAGGTCCAGGAGGAACAGCCAGTCATTACAGGCAAGAAGAAAGGTAAGAAGGCAGACAAGAAAAGTTCACAGGCTAAGCTGGAGAGTGATGATAAATCATTGGACGATGAAGGCGATGATGAGGTCCCTGACATTGTGTTTGCTGGGAAGAAGAAATCTCAAGGTAAGAAAACTGGAGGGACGAGCACATTCTCTACCTCGAGTTTCGGACTACTCGGAGATGGAGACGAAGATGGTGGTGATGAGGATAAAAATAACGAGGATAACTCCGAGGTAGCAGGTGGTAAAGATAGTGAGGAAGAGGATGAATCAGTTGTGAATTTCACTGGGAAGAAGAAGAAGAAGCCCTCTCTAAAAGGCAGTAAGGGTGGTGGTAGTGTGTTTAGTGCTTCTGCATTTGACGCAATTGATGATGGCGAGGAGGACAGTGAGGTTGTAAACAAAGATGATGATCTTGAAGATGAGGCTTTGATTGTTGAGTTTACCGGGAAGAAAAAATCTTCCAAAGGTAGTAAGAAGTCTGGTAATGTATTTAGTGCAGCAGCTAGTTTTGATATTCTAGATGAGAATGTGGAGGGCAAGGATGATGATGATGATGTTTCCGCTATAACTTTCTCTGGAAAGAAGAAATCTTCTAAAAAAAAGGGAACTAATACTAAAAGTGAGGAAAAAGAGGATGTGAAGGCAGTTGAAGAAGTGGCAGACACTTCAAAGAATAAGAAGAAGAAAAAGAAGAGTGGAAGGACTGCACAAGAAGAGGATGATTTGGATAAGATTCTTGCTGAACTTGGAGAAGGGCCATCTGCTCCAAAGCCTTCTGCGCCGCCTCCTGTGGAGGAGAAAGGTCAGGTTCAATCTGAAGCAGTTGCTGAGACGGGTGGAAAAGAGGAGAAGGATGGTGAAGAAGAAAAGGAAGAGTCTGCTGCAGCCAAGAAGAAGAAAAAGAAGAAAGAGAAAGAGAAAGAAAAGAAGGCTGCTGCTGCAGCCGCCTCTGCTGTTTCAGAGGTTAAGGAAGAAAAGATAGCGGAGGTAAAGGGTGTGACAAGTGAGTCCAAAAAGGGTGATGCCAAGGGCAAAGCAGCAGATAAGAAGCTCCCAAAGCATGTCAGGGAGATGCAAGAAGCTCTTGCTAGGCGAAAAGAACTTGAAGAAAAAAAGGCGAGGGAAGAGGAAGAGAAGAGGAGGAAGGAGGAGGAGGAAAGGCTCAGGCTAGAAGAGCTTGAAAGACAAGCGGAGGAGGCTAAGCGTAGGAAGAAGGAGAGGGAAAAAGAGAAACTCCTGAAGAAGAAGCAAGAGGGAAAACTGTTGACTGGGAAACAGAAGGAGCAACAGCGGCGGTTAGAGGCAATGAGAAATCAAATTCTCGCTAATAATGCTAACCTTGGCCTCGCTGCTGGGGACAAAGAAGCAGCACCAGCGAAGAGACCTATTTACAAAACTAAGAAAACAAAACCAGCTCAGAAGCATGAAAATGGTGCAGCGTCTGTTAATCCCGAGGAAGACAGTGAAATAAAAGTTAAGGAAGAAGTCGAGCAAGTGTTGTTCGATGCTGGATCTGTGGAAGAAAAGGTTGAGGATGTGGAAACAGAGAAGATGGAAGAGAAAGTGGAAGTTGCTGAAGGAACCAAGGAAAATGGAGTGGAAGAAGAGGACGATGATGATGAAGAATGGGATGCAAAGAGCTGGGATGATATCAGCCTCAATGTGAAAGGTGCTTTTGACGATGAGGAGGTTGATCCTGAGCCGGAACCTACTGTGAAGAAATGTAAGAAGCTTGTCATACCTGCTACTCGCGCTGCAAGTTTCATACATCTACTCTGTTTTCCAAATGAACCTTTATCTAGTCTAAATGCCCTACCTTGTTAAATGTTGATCTCTGTTTCTTGTTTCCCCTTACAGCTTCCGCTCCAGTTGCAGCCAAAACTCCTGCATCCTTACAAGCGAGCAAGGTTCAGGATGTCCAAAGTAAAAAGAGTAAGGCCCTTACAGAACAAAGTGGGAAGAAACGCTCTGCTGGTGCCAAAAATGGAGCCTCAGCTACAGATGCCACCAGTGAAGAGCCTGAAGAAGACCTCAGATCACCAATTTGTTGTATTATGGGTCATGTTGATACGGGTAAAACCAAGCTCCTGGATTGCATCAGAGGAACCAATGTTCAAGAAGGCGAGGCTGGGGGTATCACACAACAAATTGGCGCAACATACTTTCCTGCTGAGAACATAAGAGAGAGAACTAGGGAATTGAAGGCTGATGCAAAACTGAAGGTCCCTGGTTTGCTGGTTATTGATACCCCTGGTCATGAATCTTTCACCAATCTTCGTTCACGGGGTTCAGGGTTATGTGATATTGCCATTTTAGTTGTTGACATCATGCACGGCTTAGAGCCGCAAACAATAGAGTCGCTCAATCTCTTGAGAATGAGGAACACAGAATTCATTGTGGCCTTGAATAAGGTGATTCTTACTACCGATTGTGTTCTTGATTTAATTTATGAGGGTATGCTCTTGGAGATGTTTGTTTCTCTGATCGAGTTGCTGTTTATTGTTTGTTTTGCGAACTTGATAGGTGGACAGACTCTATGGATGGAAAGTATGTCGAAATGCACCAATTGTCAAAGCAATGAAGCTACAATCAAAAGATGTCCAAAATGAGTTCAATATGAGGCTTGCACAGGTCTTCGTCATTGCTTTTATCTCTCCCTCTCCTTCTCTCTGCTTGAGGTATCCTGTCTGACTTGCAGTAATTATTTCCTTTGGACCAGATCAGTACTCAGTTTCAGGAACAAGGACTGAATACTGCATTGTACTATAAGAACAAGGAGATGGGAGAGACTTATAGTATTGTACCAACAAGTGCTATTAGGTTTGTTATCCTCCATTTTGTTGTTACCCTTTTCTGCCAAATTCAGCCCGTTGCGAGCCATATTGATAGTTAATGACTTTTATATTTACAGTGGAGAAGGCATTCCTGATTTATTGCTGCTGTTGGTCCAATGGACTCAAAAGACTATGGTTGAGAAACTTACGTTCAGCAATGAAATACAGGTACCTGTTTGGCTATATCTAGTAATCTGCTGCGCAACATAAAGTTAAGCGTGTGGTTTAATTGTTGTTGTTTTTTTTTTTTTTTTTGTGTTCCAGTGTACTGTCCTGGAGGTCAAGGTTATTGAGGGTCATGGGACTACAATTGATGTTGTGCTAGTTAATGGTGTGCTTCATGAAGGAGATCAGATTGTTGTTTGCGGTTTACAGGCAAGTAATTAGCATGTGTTGTATTGTTGAAGATGTGATTTGTTAAAATTTGGGTCTTTGCTAACCAGCTCTTGGAATTCCAGGGACCCATTGTCACCTCTATTAGAGCTCTCTTAACTCCTCATCCAATGAAGGAACTCCGTGTTAAGGTTGGCATCTTTATGCTCCTGGATTGACTTTTATTGATGCTATAGAATATGTGAATGAAGAAAATTTCTATGCAGAAATGTTGTAGACTGTCTTGATGAATTGTGAACCTACAACTGTTAGAATTGAACAATTATGCCTCTGGTTCAAAGTTAATGCAGATGGTAGGAACATTTGCATTAAACTCTGCTATTGTTAGTTTGAAGCTTTTCTCTTTCTAATTGGTGAATGCTGGCTGCGCAAGGTAGGACCTGAGGGCGTTGGATAATTTGTCAATAGTACCACTAGGATTTGAACCTAGCCAGTGCTCAGTGAACAATCTGGAATTGATAACTTTTCACAACAGTTTCTAACTAGCAAACGGACTGGTTAGTTTGAAGCTTTTCTCTTTCTAATTGGTGAATGCTGGCTGCGCAAGGTAGGACCTGAGGGCGTTGGATAATTTGTCAATAGTACCACTAGGATTTGAACCTAGCCAGTGCTCAGTGAACAATCTGGAATTGATAACTTTTCACAACAGTTTCTAACTAGCAAACGGACTGGTTAGCAAATTCTATCATGGCCGAGAGTTTGCAGTGTGCTTTAAATGGCTAGAACTAGACACACCTGTACTACTTTTGGGTTTACTTAGGTAGAGGATTTGTTGAAAACTAGGCATAGTCTTATGATGTCTGATGTTTTCTTTAAGGTCCTTCTATTTTGTGCCTTCTGATTCTATTACATCTCCATTTCTGAAATACTTCTAAGATTCTATTGACCAGTTCTTCGTTATAGTTAATCTGATTCATCTTTAGCGCCCTTTCATGGCATGTACAAATAGTTGCACTACTAAATTCTCTGGTAATGAGACAGACAGCAGCTTGTGGATTTCTTATTGTGGATGATATTGGCAGGGATGGTACATTCATGTTGTTAATAGGCATAGTTAAGAAAATGGAATTTTTTGGTCATTTTTCTGTTCGGTGTTTGCTTTTCGAGCTCTGATGTACAAGTTATCATTTTTTGTGCATGTCCTGAATTCTTGGTTTTGGTTTTAGGGCACATATTTACACCACAAAGAAATCAAGGCTGCACAGGGTATCAAAATCACTGGTCAGGTGAGGTTAATGCATTACAGAGGCCATTTTTGTTGACTACCTGGCTCATCTTACCTAATGCTAAATACCATTTAATTCAATTGCATGTTTGCAGGGCCTAGAGCATGCTATTGCTGGAACTGGTCTGTATGTGGTAGGGCCTGATGATGATGTGGAAGATGTCAAGGAGTCTGCAATGGAAGACATGAAGTCTGTCATGAGCCGAATTGATAAAAGTGGCGAGGGTGTTTATGTACAGGCTTCTACCCTTGGATCTTTGGAAGCTCTGCTCGAGTTCTTGAAGTCTCCTGCAGTGAAGATCCCTGTTAGTGGCATAGGGATCGGCCCTGTGCACAAGAAAGATGTCATGAAGGCCAGTGTTATGTTGGAGAAGAAAAAAGAGTATGCTACCATTTTGGCATTTGATGTCAAAGTCACGCCTGAGGCCCGGGAACTTGCCGATGACGTGGGTGTAACGATCTTCATCGCAGATATCATTTACCACTTGTTTGATCAATTCAAGGCTTATATTGACAATCTGAAAGAGGAGAAGAAGAAGGAAGCTGCTGATGAGGCAGTTTTCCCTTGTGTTCTCAAGATTATGCCCAACTGCGTTTTTAACAAGAAAGATCCAATTGTTTTGGGAGTTGATATTGTCGAAGGAATTGCTAAGGTAATATGAATCTTTACTTGATTAAAGTGCATGTGTTGTCTACATGTTAGTGCGTTAATGTGCCGTTCGCCCTACCAAAAAGAAGTTTGTATTGATTATTGAGTCGGTCGCCTTGGCATTTGTTTTTGTTTTATCTTTTCAACAGGTTGGCACTCCTATATGTATTCCTACACAAGATTTTATTGACATCGGTCGGATTGCTTCCATTGAGAATAACCATAAACCTGTTGATACGGCTAAGAAAGGGCAGAAGGTGGCGATTAAGGTATGAATTCTATTAATGCACATGCCTTTTCTTTGCTCCTCTCTCGTGTTCTGTTGTCTGATTTTGCCTAGGTGGGGAGTCAGTAAACGAAAAGCACACTGAATGTCTGTTTCTGTCTAATTATGATCTTCCTTACTTATTGACATCAGTCGACACCCCATCTGTCTAAGTATCATCTTTCAGTCAACTTCAATCTGACTCTGATTCTGCCTCTGATGTTGCCAGATAATTGGCTCAAATTCAGAGGAACAACAGAAAATGTATGGCAGACACTTTGACATCGATGATGAACTTGTCAGCCACATTTCAAGGAGTTCGATCGATATTCTGAAAGAAAACTATCGGGTACATATTCGAGGGTTTGACATCCGTTTTCATCAGTTGGTTTTTAAGCGATTCCCATAAATTGCTAACACTGTGTGGGATGTGGATTGAATGAATGCACACAGGATGAGCTGTCTATCGACGAATGGAAGCTGGTTGTGAAGCTGAAGAGCATTTTCAAGATACAGTGAGGAGAGTTGGAACAATTACGCGCGATTTGGATGGTGATGCTTTTGAGGTTTTAAGCTCTGGAGGAGGATGAGAGTAAAGGTGGGGTTTTACTTGCAGATTCTGACAGCCTTGTGAGTGTGAGAAGTCACCTCTCTTCTTGGCAACCCACTGGTTACAATTGGGTGGATTATTTCTGAATCATGATCGAGTAATTCACTCATCGGGTTTCCTTCTCGTCGTATAAGTTAGGTGGAGTCTCCTGCTGGTGTTGGCTGTCCGGCCTAGTCTTGTTGAACAGAGCCCATTTCGCAATGATTTTGAAAGGTTAGTTGTCGATCAAGATGCAACGAGAAAGCAGAAGTATTTACTTCTAGCTGACGACGTTGTTGTCGATCTCTTTTGCTTTTCCTTGGGAAAGAATTAACGACTTTGGGTTCAGTTCAGAGGATGGTTGAACCTGTTGGTGCCCCCTTCACCATTCTCTGGGTCGGGGTACTTTTTTCCTTACAAGGAGGAGTGGAGGTTTTGTTTTGTGCGTGATCCACTCCATCCTGTTTCACAAATATAATCTGGAGTCTCTACAGAATGAAAAGGTAAATAGCCTCGTACATTTCACTCCCTCGACATTCGATTTGTGTCATAATAGATAGGTTAATCTTGTTTGAGAATGAACTGTGCCTCTCGTTAGGCTGGAATAATGATGAACTGGTGATTGTCTAGGGCTTAATTTGACTGTTAATAATGGCTGATCCCTAGTTGTGTTGTGATTCGATAGCTCGAATACCGGTGTGGCGAAAGTTCTCCCTCGTCGTATCTCCCCGTCGAGAAATAGTTCCATTGAACATCCCCAGGAAAGGTTGTCGACCGTCGTTAGAAGCATTGAAACCATGCTCTACCTTACTGCAAAAATGGGGGCCTAACGTTTCATGGCCTTAAAAATTTTAAGTCTTTTGTTATTAGCTTTATTGATAGTGCACTTTTAACAAATCTATCAATGTTCAGGCCTGGCCGTCTTTGAAAGCTTCATAAGTTGGTCTCTTTCGAGAAAAAATCTCAAGCGAAAGAACTCCATAATCTATATCTATCTATCTATAAAAATAAAATATAGGGTTAATTGCATGGTTGGTCATTGAGATTAAAAAAAAAACGCTCAAGTTTGGTCACTCAAAATATTTAAATCCATTGATGGTATTCAAGTTTACTGAAACCGTTCACGTTTGGTCACTCTCCGTTAAATTTCGTTAACTTTTGCTTATGTGGCGGTCAACTCTAAAATTTGATTATTAAATGTATGATATAACAATTTAAAAATAATAAAAATAATAAAATTTTCAAAATTATCGTATCATTTTCACCTCATTATCACTTTTATTTCAAATAAATAAAAAACTCTAATTTCTTCTAATACCTCCAATACCGATATCCTACCCTCTGGCATCGCCTGGTTGACCAACAGCCTCGCGCAAGAGTGGATCCGGCTAGTCACGGGCTTCACCGACTACCACCCCCGCCGACCGAGCTTCCTGCTAAAGAGTAGAATCCTATTCCTATCCATCACAATCTCCGCCACCGCAGTCATCATCTTCACCATCCTCTGCTACCTCTTCCACCTCTCCCGCTCCATCCCTTTCGAAGACTCCCCCCTCGCCGCCGCCAACAAGCAGCTCAGGCGCTTCACCTACTCCGACTTCAAGCTCGCCACCAACGACTTCCACGACTCCTCCGTCATCGGCCGCGGCGGCTCCGCCACCGTCTTTCGCGCCATCGCCAGGGACGGCAAGCTCTACGCCATCAAGCGCCTCGACTCCGCCGCCCTCACCCTCAACTCCGAGCACGAGTTCTAGAACGAGCTCCAGATCCTCAGCGGCCTCAAATCCCCCTTCCTCGTCACCCTCTTGGGCTACTGCGTCGAGAAAAGGCACTGATTGCTCGTGTACGAGTACATGCCCAACAAAAGCCTCCAGGAATGGCTGTTCGGCGAGGGCAATTTGGGGATGGAGGTTTTGACCTGGGAGAGGCGGTTCAGCGTGGTTGCCGACGTGGCGAGAGCCCTCGAATTCCTCCACACGGGATGCGACCCTCCCGTGATTCACGGCGACGTCAAGCCCAGCAATGTCCTCCTCGATTTCGACCTTCGGGCCAGGATTTCGGACTTCGGGCTGTCCCGGGTCAAAGGGGAATTCGAATTTGGGCCGGAGATGTTCACGAGTCAGGATTTCGGCAAGAGCCAGGAGCTTTCGGGAAATTTGACGCCGTTAGAGAGTAGTGTTGTGCTGCTACTAACAACGAGGTTGTGGATTTCCCGCTGGCTCTGCAGGCTTCTTCGTCCTCTAGCAAGGGAGGTGGGTACGCCGTGAACGGAGTGAAGTTCAACTCCGTTTGTATAGCAGGATCTTTGCGGCGGAGACCGAGAAGGGGAAGGAGGTTTCTGCGGCGGCGGGGGAGAATATTGGCGGAGATGATGACCATAGCAAGGAGCTTACTTGCAACGTGGATCAGGAGAATCACGATCAAGATCCGGCAGAGGAAAGAGGGAAGCAATGGAGGAAAGATTGGGGAAAAGTTAATCTGCTAACTTGAAGATTCGTTAGCAGATACTAACTGATATCCAAAATACATGAACTAGTATCCAAGTACTAAAGTATTTAGAGAGCACAAACTAGTATTTAAAGTTTGCTAACTGATATCCACCATGAATCAACTATTATCACAAATTCACAAACTAATATCTAGACAACATAGAATAGTATCCATACAACACATAATTAGTATCCAGATAACACATAAGAGTATCCAGATAACACATAATAGTATCCGTATTTAATACTAGTTGGTTAATTGTGGATATTAGTTGGTAGCTGCTATCTGGATACTAGTTTGTCATGTTTAGAATACTAGTCTGTGCTATCTAGATACTCAACAGACTTGGATATTAGTTCATACATTTTGGATATTAGTTAGTATATACTAACGAATTTTCAAGTTAGCAGAATAACTAGGCTGGAAAGATTGGTGGTGGATGCAAGACGGGAGTGGGGAACTGTGCAGCAAAGATTATGTGATGGAATGGATTGGCAGCCAAATTTGTCCTTCCACTAACCCGTGACTAGCCGGGTCGAGACTCACGAGATCAGTTCTGGCGGTCGGCGGGGTGGTAGTCGGAGCCAGGGAAGTAGGTGATTATACTATGAAAAAATTATACTATATTCAAAATAAATGATTATACTATGAAAAAATTATCATGCACTTTAACATGTAATTTTTTAAATATTATTATACCTTGCATATGAATTTATGATTATATTAGTGTTTATATGAATTATTATTTAATTATATATCCAAAACACATCCATGAAATATTAATGTAAAAGTTGAATAACTTGACTAACGTTATTTGAAATCATCGGAGTTATAAGACCAAGCAGGAAACTTGAAGAATTAAACTGAAAATAAAATAAATAAATAAGTTAAAATAATAAAAAAGCTGCCTACCAGACTCGAACCTGGTACCTTAATTAAACTGAAAATAAAATAAATAAAAAGGTTAAAATAATAACAAAGCTGCCTACCAGACTCGAATCTGGTACCTTTCGGCTGCTATTCTACTACAAATCCACTAGACTACAAGAAGATTATGTTAATAATGTGTCACTCGTATTTTAAATATATTTAACGTTGATTTTACACGTAATTCTCGAAAGTTCCTAGGACTTTATACGTAAGTTTCAAAATTCTGGGGGGGGGGGGGGGGGGGGGGGGGGGGGACCGGGGCCCCCCGAGAGCCTACATAGCTCCGCCCCTGGCCGGATCCACTCATCCACGAGCCTGTTTGTCAACCAGGCGGTGGCAAAGGGTGGGGGTATTGGTACTCGGGATTAGAAGAAATTAGGGTTTTTTATTTATTGTAAATAAAAGTGATAATGAGGTGGAAATGATATGGCAATTTTGAAAATTTTTATTTCATTAATTTTTTTATTTTTAAATTGCCAGGTCACACATTTAACGGTCAACTTTTAGAGTTGACCGCCACATAAGCAAAAGTTAACGGAGTTGGACGGAGAGTGACCAAACGTGACCGGTTTCAGTAAACTGAAGTACCATCAATGGATTTAAATATTTCGAGTGACCAAACTTGAACCTTTTTTATAATTTCAGTGACCAACCATACAATTAACCCATAAAATATATTAAGCACTTTCTAAAAACTACCTATTAGAATATAGGACTTGAATGTAATTCGCCAATCGTTAAAGGATTAACATGTAAATAGAAATAAGTTAGTTACGAGTTAGTTAGTAGGATTAGTCTAGATAAGCTGTAAATCTTTGATCTTTTGTTAACTTTTTCCATTCAATCAATCGTGAATTCATTCTCAATCCAAAACTCTACCATGGTATCAGATCTATTCTGAGCCGTCTCGCTCGTGTTCTCGCTTCCTCCGACTCTCATTTCTTTCTATTCACCACAAAGCTTTCTTCGCGTCCTCCTATGGCGTCGAATTTCTCTATTCCTTCTGGCCTTGAAGCAGAAAATCCTCACAATGGAGGTCACCAGCACGGTTCTGGTGGGATTTCTTATCTCGGCATCGCGATTTCTGATCCGGCTTCTCCCTTTTTCATCCATCCTTCGGAAAATTGGGGGCAATGCCTGGTATCGCAGCCGCTGACTGAAAACAATTTCTCCAACTGGGAGAGATCGATGATTCTGGTCATCGATGGCATGAACAAGCTCGGGTTCTTGAACGGTAAGATTCCGAAGCCTCCAGACGATTCTCCTCTTCTTGAGCCATGGAATCGCAACAACAAGATTTTGCTCAGCTAGATTGAACGATCCGTAAACCATACGATTGCATAGAGTATTCTATATGCACAGCGACAATTATTGCTTGGAACGAACTAAGGGAGAAATTCTCTCAGGGAGACTCGTTCAGAATTGTCGATCTGCAAGAATCGATCTTCCAACTCAAACAAGGTACTCTTAGTGTCTCGCAGTACTACTCTAAGCAACGGGCACTTTGGGATCCGTTGGCTAATTTTAGGTTGATTCTTGATTGTGAATGTGGAGCTACTTGTCGTTGCATTCTTGCTTCTCTTAGGAAAGATCACATGAATGACAAAGTGATTAGATTTCTAAGGAACCTGAATGATAACTTCAATGCCCCTAGGTCCACAGTTATGCTTCTTGATCCATTGCCACCTATCAACAAGGTTTTTGAAATAATGGTTCAACATGAACGAGAGAATAATCTGTTGCCTAAACCTAATTTCCAGCCAAACCCCAATCCTACTGTAGACAGTATGGCTTTCTTTACCAGAGCTGCTGGTACTAATCTGGGTATTCAGGGTGCCAATCAGGGGTTTAAGAAGCAGGGCAAGAAGCCAGTTTGTACTTACTGTGGCTATACTGATCACACAGAGGACATCTGTTATAAGAAGAATGGGTATCCCCCAGGTTATCAACCAAAGAAGAAGAATCCACCTCATCAAGCCAACAATGTCACTGTTGAGCATGGCGAATCCTCCAACGGTGGAGCTGTCATGGTCAATCCAGCTAATTGGATGAACTTTCAGCAACAGTATTAGAAGATGATGCAGTATATGCAAACTCACACCGCTCCTTCCTATTAGGGGTGGGCATTCGGTCGTTTCGGTTTCGACAGAATCGAAATTATGAATGTCGGGTCCATGAATTCTCCCAAACCTCAAACCGAATTCGAACCGAATTATAATTCGGTTCGGTCGGTTTAAACCGGATTATAATTTGGTTCGGTTCGGTTTTTAACACAAAACCAAATTTGTGAGCCTACTTGTATTCTCACTTTTAAATTATTTTTCACTCCTCATATAAACAATAAATATGCAATTATATGCATAATCAATGATAAAATCAAGCTTTTCAACACATAAGTCATAAAACATTTCAAATATTTAAGTATAAAAACAACTACAAATATAAAAATCCACAATTTGGAGGTTGCAATTGTAGTATTTCGGTTTTTCGGTCGGAATTTCGGTTGAAAGAACCCTGGTTTCGAAATATCTATATTTTCCTTCCGAATTCCGAACCGAATAGCATTATTTTGCTTTCGGTTCAGTTTAATTCGTTTTTGGTTCGGCTCGGTTCGGGTTTACCGAACCGTTTGCCCACCCCTACTTCCCATCAAGGAGTGCAACCAGCTTCTCAGCAGCCAACACCTCCTTCTCCTAGCTTTGCAGATGTTTTCATGCCAAACCAGTCTTCTCACCCATCTCACTCTGCTGAGAATGATGGCTCTGGTCCTCATCAGATCATCAGCAAATCCAATTTTGTGGCTTCCCATATTTCTCAGGGTCCCAACACACAGGGTAAATTCAGTTTAGCCTTTTCAATCAATTTTACTCTTAATCGCAAATGGATTATTGACACAGGAGCAACTGACCATATAATTTGTTCCTTAAATTTCTTTAATAATTACAAACAAGTTACCAACACATTTGTTCATCTACCTAATGGTGACAAAGTAGCAATAACTGCCATTGGAACAGTTCATTTTTCATAAGATCTTATTCTTAAAAATGCTCTGTTTGTGCCCAGTTTTACCTTTAACTTGGTCTCTGTTAGCCATTTAATCAAAAATCAAACCATTAGCTTATGGTTTCATTCTTCTTTCTGTCTGATTCAGGAGCTTCCTTCCCTGAAAACGGTTGGTACAACTAATCTAATTGAGGGATTATACATTCTCCTTAACATGCAACCCACCTACAGCAGTTCCAATCCCCTTCCTTGTCTGTTCAGCCTACATCTCATTATGTTGATGTTTTCTCCACAACGCAACAAAAGTTCAATATCTGGCACTATCGACTTGGCCATCTACCTCAAAGCAAACTGTTATCCTTAGATCTTAGTAGTCCAAATGTATTCAGTTCTGATAATTCTCATTGTACTGTTTCTGTTTGCCCTCTAGCAAAACAAAAGAGATTACCATTTCCTTCTAGTCATAGCCAGACTGTGGCTCCATTTCATTTGTTGCACATTGACATTTGGGGAAATGCTCCATCTCAGTCTTTGAATGGTCACTCCTATTTTCGCACAATTGTTGATGACTATTCTAGACATACTTGGTTGTTCTTAATGAAGCATAAATCTTCATTAAATCTTAAGTTAGAAACATTATCATGACATTTTTTGAATATGCTTCTACTCAGTTTGCTACTAAAATTAGAGCAATCAGAACAAACAATGGACTAAAATTTCAGATTCCAGATTTTTATAAATCCAAAGGTGAAATTCATCAAACAACTTGTGTTTACACCTCTCAACAAAATGGTATTGTTGAGAGGAAACATCAACATATTCTTGCAGTCACCATATCACTTTTTTTTCAAGCTTTTCTGCCTTCTCACTTCTGGCACTTTGCTGCTATGCATGTTGTGCATCTAATCAATAGATCCCCTACCCCTTTACTTTCAAACTCTATTCCTTATGAAAAACTCTATGGTCACAAGGCCGATCTCAATCACTTGAAAGTATTTGGATGTCTTACTTATACTTCCACTATCCAAGCTCACAGAACCAAATTAGATCCTAGAGCAACACCTAGTGTTTTTCTGGGTTATCCTAATGGAACCAAAGGTTATAGACTATACAATCTAGCTACTCACAATATTTTTATTTCTCGAGATGTTGTGTTTCATGAGGATATATTTCCATTTTATGAAGATAATCCTCTCAACCCCTCTCCAGTTCCTTCACCAGTTTTCCCAGAATCCTTGCCTCTCTTGGATTCACCTACCACTCATCTTGGTCTTTCAAATATTCCTTCACCTCCACCTACCACAGCTTTAGATATAGCTGTCCCACTACTTCTATTGCCCCAACACATCTTCCACTAAGGAGATCAACCAGACAGACAACAAAACCTGCCAAACTAAAGGATTACAATTGCAATCTGATTGGTACTTCTACGAACACGGATTCAAGCATTGTGCATCCTATTCAGGACATACTAACTTACAGTAGTCTAAGCCCTAATTACAAGAAATTTGCTCTTGCAATTGGTCTCCTTAGGGAACCTACTTCATATAAATAAGCAGTCAAATATGAAGAATGGCTCAAGGCAGTTCAATCTGAATTGGCCTCACTCCTAAAAACAAAGACATGGATTCTAGTTGATCCACTACTTAACAAACCCATCATTGGGAACAAATGGGTTTTTAGAATCAATTTTTTATCCGATGGCAGTATTGATGAGTTCAAAGCCAGATTAGTTGCTAATGGCTACACACAAACTCCTGGTGTGGATTACTTAGATACTTTTCCCCCTGTTGTTAAGATGACTATTGTCAGAATTCTATTAGCTTTGGCATCCATCAACAACTGGTTCTTAGAACAGCTTGATGTTAACACATCTTTTTTACATGGTGATCTCAATGAAGAGGTTTATATGGCCTTACCTCCTGGACTCCATGTGGATCCTGCTGACAAACACAGAGTTTGCAAACTAACCAAATCTTTGTATGGCCTTAAACAGGCCAGTCGCCAATGGTTTGCAAAGTTAGCATCTACTCTTGAAAATTTAGGTTACCAGAAATCAAATAGTGATTATTCTTTATTCACAAGACATCATGACACATATTTTACTGCCCTCCTCGTCTATGTAGATGACATTATCCTCACTGAAAATTGTCTATCCGAGATTCAGAGGGTCAAACAGCATTTGGATGACAAATTTACAATTAAAGACCTTGGTCAACTAAAATACTTCCTTGGCATGGAAGTGTCTAGATCAGATTCTGGTATTCATCTCTGCCAGAGAAAATATACCTTGGATCTCCTTTCTGACACTGGTTTTTTAGGAACCAAACCAGCTACAACTCCTTATATCCCAGCAACTCATCTATCCAACACAGATGGTGAACCCCTTGATGCTACTGCTCATAACAGTTACAGAACTTTAATAGGAAGATTACAGTATCTCTGTAACACTAGGCATGATATTTGTTACATTGTGAATCAATTGAGTCAATACATAGATGCTCCTACTACAAGCCATGAATTAGCAACCCATAGATTATTAAGATACTTAAAAACCAACCCTGCTAAGGGTATTTTCTTCCCCTCTAATTCTAGCATTAAACTAACTACTTTTTCAAATTCAGACGGGACAGGGTGCCCTGATACACGTAGGTATGTGACTGGTTTCTGTGTTTTTCTAGGATCCTTTCTCGTCAGTTGGAGGTCAAAGAAACAGCAGATAGTCTCCAGGTCCTCAGCAGAACCAGAGTACAGAGCACTTGCTGACACTTCCCAGGAGCTTCAGTGGATGACCTACCTTTTCCAGTAACTTCCAGTTCAGCATCAACAACCATATTTCATCTATTGTGATAGCTTGTATGCTGTGAAGATGACTGAAAACCTGATCCAGCATGAAAGGACCAAGCATATTAAAGTGGATTGTCATTTCACACGTGATTAAGTCCTGCATATTTCCACCAAGTTACAGCTCGCAGATCCCTTCACCAAAGCATTACCTGTTCATACATTCATTGATCTCATCTCCAAGCTCAACATGAAGTCCATACATGTTTAGCTTGGGGGGGGGGGGTGGGGGTGGGGGGGGGGGGGGGTATTAGAATATAGGACCTGAATGTAATTCGTCAATAGTTAGAGGATTAACATGTAAATAGAAATAAGTTAGTTACGAGTTAGTTAGTAGGATTAGTCTATACAAGCTGTAAATCTCTGATCTTTTGTTAACTTTTTCCATTCAATCAATAGTGAATTCATTCTCAATCCAAAACTCTAGCACTACCTCCTCCACGTTAGCTTTCCAGCCCTCTCCTTCATTCTTGGTGATCCTTTTTATTTTTCTTTTTTAATCGCTAACTGTTTATCTGTCTCCTTTTTTTACAATCTGTTTTCTTTTATATTACTTTTTAATTTTACCCTCTCCGTTTCATTATATGAGTTTTTCCAAGGGATGCATCCTTTTGAGAATCAGAGAATGGCTGGTGAGAAAAGTCTACGTAGCCGTAGGTGGTACTTCCATAGGAAATTAGGAATCAAAATTATATATAGTAATGACTACCAAAAAATTTGTTAGTATTAAATTGTTATTTTGACATTGGAAATAGATATGTGTACAATATATCCCAAATTTTATACACGCATGAAATTTCTTGAGTTTTGTAAGTATTTGTAAAGTTCATAAAAATAGTTCGGCAAATGACTATAAAGGCATCATAAATCTTCACATCATGAGTTACAATTTCAGAAATGAATCATGAAAATGTTTAGTATAATACTAGCACTTTGCCCGTCCGGTTGGCCGGGTGTGGTTATTGCATTTATGTCCGCTTTGGTGTCCTTTTAGCCGTTTGTTTTTAGTAAATAGTTGTGAATTCGCTTTTTCTTTTCACAATATTGTATTTTCAATGGTGTTAGTGGCAACCTTAATTTGTGGTTGAAACGTTGATGTCATAAGATCCATCTGCCTATTCCCCTTTATTCACCCAGCCTTCTGGAGGTTTTCCCCATATATTATTCCACTTCGATCTTTCCTCCTTCTCCAAAGTGTGATGCGATTTAAACTCTTCTCGGTAGGTGAAAGCTTGACCCGGAAGACCCACTGACCCGTCCCGTCTCGTAGGGTCGGGACGGGTCAGTTTGTCTACAGGGACAGATTAGGGACGGGTCATTTGTTGACCCTGTAAGGGTCGGGACGGGTAGGAACAACTTAGGGACAGGTCAGGTTTTGACCATGTGACCCTTAACAACAACAAATATCTCACACCGCATTGGACCTTTTTGTAAAGTTTTAAAAGTTTAGGTACTAATTTGTGTATAAATAAAAAAAATTTGGTTACCAAAACGTAATTTTACCTTCAAAATTTATGGACTTATTTGTAAACAAATAAATTTTAGGTACTAAATTGCAAGAAAAAATAATTTTGGGTACCAAAACGTAATTTGTAAAAAAGTAGTGTGTTGATTAGGGTCGACCACAAAATGATGCTTAGTTTCTCTAGCATTTCATCCTCCGCTTGATCCATTACTGCACATAGCCAGCTGCTAGATGATAGGTTAGGTTCTAGCTCAAATAGTGGTCTGAACATGGACGATCTCCTAATGTGAATTGCCCACTGACATTCCTTCAATATATGATTCTGGGTTTCCTCTAGATTGCAGAAAGGGCATTCCATGAACTTTTTAAACAATGCTATTGAGTTTTTAAACAATGCTATCATGAACTTTTTCCCACCTATTGGAGTGCAATTGTTCCAACTCATCGCAACATCGCTGAGTGAGCTCCTTGTAGCTTGTAAGCAACCCTTGGGTGATAATTTTTTTTCTTTCTTGCTGCTTTGTTTATTTTTGTTATCAATAATGTTGAATTGTTGGATGAGCTTCAATAATAAATCATATACACTTAATCCAATGCAACATGCAACTTCTATCAGCTTTTTTAATTTGGTGGTGAATGACATAACCTCTATTGTCCGTTTCAATATATATATTTCTCAACATTTTCCAAATCAATATTTACAATTAACTCGATATTCAAAAATTATTTATTTCTTGAATTAACTCGATATTTGCAATTATGTTAAAAATAACCGTGAACAAACGAAAAATAACCATGATCACCGAATAAGATATTACAATTTGGTTGAAAATTTAAAATTTTCATTTTATGTCAATAAATACATTGAGATCGTCCAGCGAATCACAAGTATTGTTTTTGAAGAATGAGTTAAATAAAACATAGAAGAAGTTTAAAAGATATAAAAAATAATATTCCCTTTAGAAAAATATAAAATAATTTAAACATAAAGACAAATATTGTTAATATAAATGACAAACAAAATTGTTCCAACCAACAGGCCGAGTTCCATGCTATTTGTAGATATAACTTTTTTACCACTCACGCAATAGAGCACGTCATGTCATCATTATTAAGGAGTTTTTTTATAAATTAAATGCTACACAAACTCATATTTTATTTTATTTTTTCCCAGAAAATTATAAATTGATGAGATATTTAAAATGATATCCACTTTATATATTTTGAAAAGAATCCACTTTATCAATGACGTATTCATTAACAATTGATTTATCGGGCAACATGATGTCATTAGAGGTGGCAATTAGGATCCAAATCCATGAATCCAATCCAATCCATCTACCAAATTATCCACATAATACAATCCATTTAAATCCAATCCATTTGATCCAAATCCAATTGGATTGGTGGATTCATGGATCAATCCATGGATCCAAATGGCAAATTACGATTTGGTACCTATATTTTTTATATTTTATATTTTTATACGAAAAATATCATTGAAAAATTACATTTTGGTACCTAAAATTTTTCATTATGACATTTTAGTACCAAAACTTTTCATATTTTACATTTTGGTCCAAGCCTTTGATGTCATTTGGATTCATGGATCAATCCACCAATCCATGAATCCAGCAATCTATTGGATCCAATCCATTTGATCCATGGATCCACCAATCCAATCCACGAATCCACCAATCCGATCCAATTGCCACCTCTAGATGTCATGATGGTACATCAACGAATCAATTGCATTAGTGCAATAATGGTTCACTTAATTTGACTAATTGGTTTGTTTCTGTAAAATCTTTTAGTGAGTATGGTTTAAGTGGCCTAATTTGGTAAGCCGTACCCAAAATTATTCATTTGACTCCGTTCACTAATTAAGGAGATTTATATCAATCTAACCATTTGAAATTTTATGATAACACCTTAATGCGATGTGCAATGGAGATATCTTAAAGAGAAGAACACATAATCAAATTGCACACCTAATAGCTCATACAGAAGGTAAATAGAATGCTTAAGAGTTAATACATATGGACAATCTTTTATTTTACCACATTTTCGATTTTATTGTACTTCCAGTTTAAGTATTAAGTAACAATCATCAAGGTAAATTGTTTCAAAAACTGCTGATAATGTTAATTTCTTTACCATAGGAGAAGTTATAATTCACTAACATTTCTAAGTGGGTTTCCCTTTTCATAAATTGATATTGGGCATAGTAATTTTCACAGAAAACTATTTGTGACATTCTTTTCTTTTTCGTATATTACCAAGGTGACTATCACTAAAGGAAAATATCTAATTTTCTTAACGTGAGTGATCACATGAAACATACATTATTGTTGAGCTTTCACTTATTAAATAAAGTTTTTTCATCCAACGGGCTGAATTTTAATCTAGTTTATCAAAATAGAAGAACAAATGTACAACACATGATCTTCATTTCTTAGGATTTTGATGGTTACTAATAGTGCATCATGATAAAAGAATTTGTTAGGTTTAAAGACAATCATATATAACTCCCCTGCTCTCTTAAACAAAAACTTGTTTGGAAATTGCGATTGTTTTGTTGAGATTGTTACAATACATGTGTTGATAATGCATCATTGTTTTGATTTATTAGCATAAACAATATATGGATTGTTTATGTAATGTGACGGAAACTATAACTCAAAATGAGTTATTGTTATATCTCAACTTTTAGTTGTAATTGTTGAGATAGTTGAGTTGAGATTGTTTTGTCTTAACTTTTAACTGATGTGACATATACAATTACACATACCAAATGTTGTATTCTACAATGTATCGAATTCAAAGGGTAAATATTATTTTTTAGCCAAACTTTTTCCTCATTCCAAAATAATAGACAAACCTTAGAAATCTTAATAATTAGCCAACTGTTAAGTCTCCGTTAATAATTTCGTTAAATGACGATGAGTTGGCGAATATTGTGCTAACTTGGATCATAGGTGGCTAACTGAAGTGTAGGGAAGATGGTGATGATGATTATCCGCATCTGCGCCACAAGTTTGGCTATTATTATTTTTTATTTAAATGAAAAGTAAAAATATACTGATATGGATGCTGGGGTGGAGTGTTGGTTAACGGTGTTTATTAAAATTTTAGACATATATAAAAGGTTTGGCTTTTATTTTGTATTACCAAAAGTTTGGCTATTATTTTGAAATGGGAAAAAGATTTGGCTAAAAAATAGTATTTTCTCAATTCAAAAATACATGCGTTCACATTAGGTGGGCCAACCGTTCGGTAAAGCCGAACCGAAACCAAATTAAACCGAACCAAAACCGAAATAATGCTATTCGATTCGGAATTCGGTAGGAAAATATGGATATTTCAGAAATCAGAGTTCTTTCAACCGAACCGAAATTCCGACCAAAAAATCGAAATACTATAATTGCAACCTCCAAATGGTGAATTTTTATGTTTATAGTAGTTTTTAGACTTAAATATTTGAAATGTTTTATGACTTATGTGTTGAAAAGTTTGATTTTATCATTGATGATGCATATAATTGCATATTAATTGTTTATATTACTATGAAAATAATTTAAAAGTAAGAAGATATATAATTGCATATTAATTGTTTATATTATGTGAAAAACCAAACCGAATTATAATTCCGTTTAAACCGACCGAACCGAATTATAATTCGGTTCAATTTCGGTTTGAGGTTTGGGAGCATTCGGGAACCCGATATTTATAATTTCGATTCGGTCAAAATCAAATCAACCGAATGCCCACCCCTAGTTCACAAAAATACATATATTTAAAAATCGCCACTTCCAAACGATACTGAATTGGTGCGCTGACTGCCTGACTTCCACTCGTCATTGTTGGGGAGGCGGGAGGCCCACGCTTGTTGAAGGAAATATGGGCTTCTTTGCCAAACTATTGGGCCCCAGAAATTGGTAGTTGGAGAAGCCCAATAAACAAAACGAGAAAGCAATTTAAAGAGGATTCGCCGCCGGGAGGCGGAGGAGGACGAATAAACTGCAGAAGTTTGGAAACTTCCCCGGCGAACTCAACTCAGCACTCTGCAGACGTTCTTCATCTGCAGACCATTCCTGCTTGAGGTTGGCTAAGATTCTGAACAGGATTTTTGTTCAATCCCTCTTTGTTCCTTTACTTTCCTAGTGGAGGGCGATCCGCCGTTTCACGCCTGGAAGAGCAGCAGTGGCTGAAAGTCTGAAACAGCCATCGATTGCCTTTCGGGTTTAGGGGACTTGACTTAAGAACTGAAACGAATTGGAGAGGAGAAGGTAGAGCTGCTGTGGTGGATTTTGTGCATTCGTGGAGCTGCAATTTCTTTCTATTAGCCTATAACAATTAACAAAGCATTGTGCTATTGTTGATAATGGCAGCTTCTGGTAAGTAAAGAGGGGGAAGGGGGCAAATGGGATTTGAAGATTACCAGGTGGGCTCGCTCCCAACTGTATTATATGTGCCTCAGTTTGTCACAGAAGCTGAAGAGACTCATCTCTTGGCCAAGGTCCTTCAATTCTTTCCTTCATGTGTGTCTTTTTATGTAATGTTGGTCACTCTTGCTCTTTTGATGTTCATGTTATCTCATCTAAGTGTTTGGAAACTCTGCAGATATATGAAGCACCTTCAGCGAAATGGAAATCCTTGAAGAATAGGAGACTGCAAAATTGGGGTAACTATATGTTTTACCGATTCTTTGGAAGTCAAGTCTCCTCCGATGAATCAAACTAGTAGTGTCTTCCTCTGCTGGTATCAGTGACGAGTCCTCTTCTCCTTCCTAATCTCATTTGTATTTCTTGCAGGCGGAGTTGTTCACGAAAAGGGTCTTCTGCCACAAGAACGTGAGTGCTAGACTTCTAGTTATTGAGCATTGCATTTCTTCTTTGTAGTACCATTCGAGTGTTCTCCGAGCGCTTTATGATATGCTTTGTTTCGCCGTGTTCTTGGATCTTGGTCCACTGGTTTTTGCTTTTAGTTGCTTCAGGAATTGGGACATTTCTGTGTAAGGCTTGGGATGAACGATTTTGTGTTGCTACTGCTATATTGGTTTCAGAATGTACTAAACAACCTTTGTTGCAGTGCCTCCTTGGTTAACAAAAATCACGCAGCGAATAAATGAAGAATCAGGACTCTTTCCTTCAGCGATTAATCATGTTCTCATCAATGAATACCTCCCAAGCCAAGGAATAAGGGTATTCTATAATGTGTTCATACTTATGGTTTCAGTGTTTAGTAGCTCACTTTTTGTGCTCGAGTCCTCACTTGGTCAGTCGTTCCTAGGGTTTCTCATTTCTTTGATCATTCTATAAAGTTCTGCTGATAATTATATTTTTCTTTCTGTGTATGCATTTATGATTTGTCAATTTTTTGATCGTTACCAGCCACATCAGGATGGACCTGCTTATTTTCCAGTGGCAGCTATTCTTTCACTTGGATCTCCTGCAGTTATGGACTTCACTCCCCATTCAAGGTTGAGAGCGTCCCCAGATCCGCTGGAGGATGAAGGAGGTGAAGGTAGACGATATCCCAGCAGCGAAACCTTGGAGGCCGAGACAGACAAGTGGATTGATGATCACCGCCGTTTTTCTGTTGCACTTATGCCTAGGAGCCTGCTGATATTCAAGGATAATGCCTATTTAGGTAATAACCTCGGCCTTCAGTACGCATGCATAGATATCGACATTATCCATTATTGTTTGTTCTCCTCGAGTTCCCTCGACTTGTTGAATGTTCTAACATCCCTCCGATCGGCACTTTCAGATTATCTGCATGGTATCAAGGACACAGAGGTGCATGATTTTGTTAAGGTAAACCCTTTGCCTAGTAGTCAAGTTTCCTCCAAGTAAAAAGTCACTTAATTGGTGATGACATTTGTTTTCAACTTCTCATTCACGAGTTCCCTAGAATACATCATGTGATAATGAATTCTTCATTGAAATTATTCTTAAAACATGATGAGCTTATACGGATGGAGTCTGACATTATGCATTTCAGGCCGTAAATGTGCAACAAATCCTTGATGCGGAGAATACTTCGCATGCTGTCAGAAGCACCGAGATAATGAGCATTCATCGAACCAGTACCCGAATTTCGCTGACTTGTAGATTGGTATTGAAGGTTCATAAGAATTTGTTCAAGTTCTGAGGGTGCTGCCATGTTCCTTTGCAATAGACAAATCTTTTAGCTAGGTACATCTATTCATGACCTTGTTTTAAACTTCAATGCAGAATGTAGTGTTGAGAATCTCGAAATAAAGATGTCAAATTGATGATATGGAATCCTTGTTTGCTCAGAAAATCGTCCTAGAACTTCGACATAAATCAACCTAAACACGGTACATATTAAATAAAGTTAGGAATGCACAATTAGCAGCTTCATTACAGGTAAACGCTTCCTACAACTAAATCCGAGGAATCAAACTACAAAAGGCAAACATAAGAAGCAGCAATCAATGATACTACAAGTGGTAAGTAACTAATGCACACACGGATCACAATAACAAACAAACTAGAGTTCGGAGAGGATAGCCGGGATGTAATGAGACAACTCGGCTGTAAGAGACTGAAACCCATTCACTAGCTGCGTGTGGAACTCCTGGTCTTCCTCTCCGATCAATCGGAAGTGAACTCGAATTGCACGCTTGCAAACTGCCATGAATTCGAGCAATGCAGCAATGAGTTGCTGGAGTTCTTGTGACCTCAGCCTTGTAGCTGGTTCACCAGAGAGAAAGGCCGTGCACACGCTCAATACCCCACTGTTAACCTGTTAAACCCAGAATTGGCATTGTGAGAATGTAAGTTTTGCCGCACAGCACCAAGCAACACAACACCAATAAAGCATGTGTTCGTTTTATCTTTTGTTATATAAAATACATTTATTCTGTGAGAAATAGGTGTTTGATTAGGGTTTATGCACATAATTGAATGGTAAGTAGACATTATGTTCAAATGGGCAAATTTGAGAATCAATTTTATTAATGATATAACTTTTATTTTGAATATTTAGTGGGATTTAAAGTTATTTTGTTGTTTTCAGCAGTCAGATTGTAGAAGTGTGTCAATTTGAGCTTTTAAGTCAATCTCTCAAGTTACTTATGTAGATATGTTTTAGTAAAACAGACTCATCCAAAGAGTATTGTAAGATATCATAAAGCTTACTTGAACTGCGACACTGCCTTGAAGAATCCTCTGCAAACTCTGCAGACGTGGGCGCTGATCACCCTCGGAACTCCGAGGTTCCTCAAGCTCGTTTCTTAGAGCAGCCGTCCGCGTTTCAATCATTCCAATCGCATTCTCAACTGGAGAGAACTCGAGGGACTCCGATTTTATCACCAAAAGCCTGTTCACTAGAGCTGGGAACGAGCCCTCCGTTTGAAGAACACTTCGCCTCTTCCACTGGTCTTCCAGTCCACCTTGTGTTTTCCCGTTTTTTGTGAAAGGAGTGTCGAACAAAAACCGGTCAAATACTCTTGCCCTAACCCCACCAGTGGAAAGAGAGAGTATTCTCTCCCTGCGACTCCCCAAATCTTCATCTTCCATCACCGGATCCACAGCTGTTATCTGTAGGTAACAGACTCCAGGCTGCAACTCATCTGCCTTGACTTGTCGAGAATCAGGGATTATATGCAAAGTATGATTCCCATCCATCCTAGACTCGTAAATGTGACTGAGCTTCTCCATTATGTCGCCTAATCTTACGTCTCGGGGCTCCCTGTATATGAATTCCTTTCTATCCAGCTTCCCAAATCTTTCACCATAGAATCCCACCCTGTAGTAAGTGGCATCAGTGAATGGAATTGGGCTGGATTCCTGCTCAAGAATCGACTCATAGATGTTTGTAAGCATTGTATGACATTTCGCCAGCTGACCATAGGCCCTTCTACTTTTGTAGACTGGAATCACAAGCTCCAGAATGCTTGCACAGAAATGGAAAAGCTCGGCTTGAGAGAAAAGCTTGTTCGCACTCTGTAAGTATTTTACTGCAGAGTCAACTGTAAGCTTTGAAGCACCGTATCCCTCTACCTCAGCTGCAGATGCCTCGGAATTGATCTCGCAACTCACCATTGGACAAATTTTTCGAAGTGAAGTTATGTGGTCTCTGCTCCAAACACCATCCTTTCTAGCCACCAGAGCCTGCAAGAACAAAATTTACATAAATACATCAGTTTAGAGCTAATATGTAAAGAAGTAACCAGGTTTATCTTATTTTAAGACCACAGGGAAACAAAGAATCGACCTGATTTTTCTTTTTCCCAAATCAGATAAAGTATTCTGTTTTTTGGTAACTAATAAAGAAACTAATATTTGACTACACATGCAGAGAAGGATCCGGTCCCTTCCCTGATCACTGCTAGTTTCTTATATGAAAGCCGGGTTCCAGACTGGAACTTCACTAATGAAGTTAACAATATAATACTAGTACGGTGAATAAAGGGTTTGTTTAAACTTCACAAAGAGAACAGGAGCAAAATCAATGCCTAGTTTTCAACTTCTCTGAACTTTGTTGTAAAAAGGATGGGAGGATAAAAGCATCAACTAAATGATGTTAGATCAATATCCACTGATAAACCTATTACCTGCATCACAACACCAGCAACAGCTACCGCACATTGCGCAGCTTCTGCTGAAGACTGCATTTCCTGATGGGCATCACATAAGTGTAGTAACCACATTATATGAAGATCAGGAACAGGGGCAAACGCCATAGCTAGTTTGTAGAAGCTCTCGGCAGCCGCATATCTATCCATAGTCATCGCAGGACCCTGTTACAAAACATATGTTGCTTATGTCAGCACACTACACAGCCTAAACCAGGCAAGAGAATTAATAAGCAACTTCTACGATACACATGTTTGATCTTAACCCATTCAGGGAAGCACTGCAGGAGGCAGGCTAACAATATTTCATCAGCTCAGGGAATATGTGTCTAATAACCATGTGGTAACTGTTACCACAACCCTAAAGCTAGCATATCACTCCAGCACACGAATCTCGGTTGAAATTATTTTGAGAAACACGTACCAAAAGGGCATGCTCGAGGCTAGCATCAAGGGCCAGAACCAGACTATCAGATAGGCGTTTGACTTCGGACCAGGACCAACGGTTCTCAGACAACCCCTCTGGTATAACCATTAGACCACTTTCAGAAAGCCCACATTCTTTTAGTAATTCCTTGCTCTTAGATTCATCAGCCATTTCCTCCAGTGACTTCCGAAGACGCCTTGCTTCACCACTTTCTTCTAGGGTCCCATCAGACTTCATCTGTGTGACTTGTACATCAGACATGAGCTCTGATAATGTGATTGTCAGCATGACCCTCAACCTTGCTGTTTGCATGATGTAGTACAAAGAGCTCTGCAAGAGATGTAAGTCAACAATTCTTGTAACGACAATGAATTTGCTTGTGGAAGTGTGGGCTTAATTTCCAAAAGCAACAATTGCTTATAAAAGTATATACCCTAACAAGTATCTGCAGTCCGACAACAGCCCTCTTCCTGATGCTTTCATTCCTGAAAACTGCAAGCCGAAGAAGGTGGAAAGCAACTTGCTTTAAGAAGCGGTCATTTTCCCTTGCCATTAATGTTTCCCCGTGAAGATCAAAAACGGTGTTAAAGACAGGAAATAGTGCTTTCCAGAAGACCAGCGGCTGATTACGAGAAAAGAAGCTCATAAATATTGCTGAGAGGCAATCAAGTTTCCCGTAATCAGTAGCTATAGTATGGGCTGCTGCCATTGTGGAGAACTTCTCGGCTGTTTCAAGAACTTGAAGACTCACAGCAGCACTGAGATTTTCTTCCCATAATTCCTGAAGCAAATGTAAAGTCATCAGCTGCCAGTAATGATTGCCTAATTGTAGGACTACCAAAAATATGGTTTGCAATGGGCAGAAGCACTTGTCATAAATGAATGGATTCTTTTGAAGATCAAAAGAACCTACCAATTTTTGTCTCAATATGGGGTGCAGAGATTCTCTGAGTGCTTGTGCTGAAGCACCTATTCTTGATGACTGTGCTTGAGCAAGAGCCTCTCTCAAGGAGTAAGGCTGGCTAGGAGAACTCAACTGAGAATTCACTCTCTGCCACAAGAATCCGTTATCAGGTGTCCCCTGAGGCTGCATTAGAAAAATTCACCGTTCTCAGAAACAAGGATTTGCTGCTCAAGCTACATAGCATTAGACTAATTGCTCATTTTGTTCAGATAAAGAGCTATTCAGGAGCAGGGTACAGCTTGAGACAATATCCAACATTAACTAACACCACCAACCGCAGCGGTGTGACTAAGTGAGCATCAGGAAACCACAAATAGGAGACATAATAGTTACCCTGACTTCCTGTCGTGATGCTTCAGATAAATAGTTGTTGATTGCAGGAGAAAGCCTCTCTGAGTATTTTGGGGAAGGAGGTGCATCTACTGTAGGGCTCCGGGAGCTGGAACCCAGCAGCATGCCATCAGAAGGTTTCCTGTGCTGTAAAGCCAGCAACCATGGTGAGACAAATATTGTGAACAAAGAAGCATATCGAATAGTAGTATAGACAAACATGCAGGACGGAAGCTGAGGATAGTGAAAGACAGGTCCTCAAGTGATAGAAGCTATGCATGCCAGGACCCCGATTTCAAACCCGACGGTACATGGAAGCCTATTCTAAGGATAATTCAAGAGAGTTATTCGAGCTATTGCAATATCCAGAATAGTAGTGTAGACAAACATGCAGGATGGAAGCTGAGGATAGTGAAAGACCAGTCCTCAAGTGATAGAAGCTATGCATGTGAGGACCCCTATTTCAAACCCAATTGTACATGGAAGCCTATTCTAAGGATAATTCACGAGAGTTATTCAAGTTATTGCAAAATCTAGAATATGTTGAACAACACCCATTAACAGCATCAACAGCCGGCTTTCCTTGGGTAAAGCCGTCATTTATGTGTGCGTGGGTGAGCTTACCAGGCTTATCTGTATCTGAACTACTAAATATTTAACGCTAACATTAGTCCCGAAAATATAAAAGTTCAATCCCTTCAACTTTACTTCGTACTCAAAACTATAAGCACACTCTGGACAAAACATTACGTCACTTATATAGCATACCTCAAAAAGAACAAGGCTTTCCTCCATTAGCTTGAAGAATAGCCTTGTTCGTGCAATGCTTTGCTGCCATGCCTTGACAAGTGATGTGTCATCCAGATTTCGAACAATTTGCAAGATGGCAATTAGAACTTCGCGCTTTTCAGTAGAACTGAGGTTATAGAAGACAGGCATCTCATCCAAGATCTGCAAAATCCAAAGGTCAATCTTGCCAACATCGATGATACGTTGCCAACTAAGAGTTAACACGAACTAGTAAGGGCACTCCTCGCGACAAGTCACAGTAAGAACAGAACAAGGGTCCATACAAATCAAATGATATGGGCCTCAAATCCAATAACGATGCATCTTTAACAGCTTCAAATTTCGGCCTTTCTGTTCAATTTGGATCCAGAATTCATTAAGAAGGCAGATTATACAGTTTAAAGCTAATATTCTCAGTTGCTTCCTGTCATGCAAATGAACCATATTTGGTTGCTGAGTCTCAGATAAATCAGAGATACCAACAAAAAAAATTACCCAGACGATGTCACAGGGAAGGATCCATTCACTGCACTCATTTTGTGAGAGCATTATTGGTCCCAGCCTGGTTTTCATGTACATAGGGCACAAGCGTAAAAGGGCAATATCTTCCAGAAGCTAGAATGCATGTTTGGTTTGACATGTTAGCCGCAAAACATTTTTTAAAAGAATCCTTCTTAAAATCCGAATCAGATTTCAACGTCCAGCTGCGAACGAGGCTGAAAGTAAAGCTTTGACATATAAGGT